GTGTGTGTGTGTGTGTGTGTGTGTGTGTGTGTGTGTGTGTGTGTGTGTGTAAACTGACCATCCCAATCATTTGAGGAAACTATGCTTTCTAGTTTTTTCTAGGGAGGGGTGGTGGAGCAGAGGTTAAAGAAGTTGAGCCTGTGATCTAGGTCGCCTGTGGGAACAGATGGTGGGGGTTAAGGGCCTTGAGTCAGGCAAATGAGGGTGGAGACAGGTGTTTAAGCAAGGCCTTTAACCCCCACCATCTGTTCCCTGGGCACCCTAGATGGCAGCTCTCTGCTCCCCTCAGAGGGCTGTGGTAGCTCGGTGGTCTGTGGTTGTGTCAGAAAGGCATCCGGCGTAAAAAATAATTGCCAAGTCTTCGTGCGAGTTAGTTTGCTGTGGCGACCTCTGAGGAAGGGAGCAGTCGAAAGAAGGGAAAAAAATGCTTTCTAATTTTTATATTGCTTAAAAGTATAGTTTCCTCAATTAACTGTGGTGGCCAAAAATTAATCTATGGTGACCAAGGCCACCTTTGGCCACCCCCTGGCTCCACCTTTGCACCTTGTATTGGATGAACTTGCTCTCCAGGATCTGTCGCAAAAATAAATCCCTCCCTTTGTTCTTCTCTACAGTGTAACTCCTAATTACTTGAATATCTTGCACCCAAAACATTAGGGTTTACTATACTTGTATTTCCTGTTCAGTTCCCGTCCAGAAAAACACTCATCTCCAAAACTACAAACGTTCACTCTTCAAATCCCTCAGAGCCGGGGAACATTGACGTGCCGCTTGTTTAGTTACCGTCTTGTTTTCATCTTTTCATCTAGTCTTTCATGAAATTTGCATATTTCTTCAACAACATTAACTCTTGGTAAAGCCAGAACATGCATGCATCTCATGCATGTTATAATGTTGTTTTTGTGCGTCCTCAGGTAGCCTCAATCAGGCAGCATTTAGCAACCATTTATGAAAAGGAGGGAGACTGGAGAAACGCTGCCCAAGTTTTAGTTGGCATTCCCCTGGAAACAGGACAGAAGTAAGTGGCCTGCTTGTGAATTTGATTTTTTCTGAAATCTTCACACTTTAAAATGTTGTTTTATCACCACTTTTAGGCAGTACAATGTTGACTATAAGTTGGATACGTACCTGAAAATTGCCAGACTGTACTTGGAGGACGATGACCCGGTTCAGGCAGAGGCTTACATCAACAGAGCCTCGCTGCTTCAGAACGAGTCCTCGAACGAACAGCTGCAGATACACTATAAGGTGCCCGATCGCCACGTGATCCAGAAGACACAAACGCTCGTTCTTACTGCCGTCGGGACAGAAAGAATAACTTGAAAAATCACAGTGTGAAAACTGAGAGATGAACGGCTGCAGAAGTTTGTTCAAAGAAAAAAAAAACTGGATTGTTAAAGTGGAAACAAGTGAAACAGACTCTGAAATCAGCAAAACTGTAGCTACATTTAGGAAAAACTGTAGCTAAAAGCTAAATTTAGAAAAGCAGTAGCTAAAAGTTTAGGAGCATAGGAAAACAAAAATAGAGCAAATATGCTAGCAGATTTCAGAGAATAATGTTTTTGAAGGAATTGATCAGATCTTAGTGTGATTTTATGGAGAAAACTTTTGTAAATAAAGTTTAAAAAGTAAAAAAGTTGCAACTATTTCGTCATTGCACACAATTCCCAATAGAGCGTTGTGTTGTAATGAATTTATTGATAGATGAATGGTTAAAATAGTACAAAGTATGTAAAAGTAGTTTGATTCCAAGAATCATGCTGAGGAAACTGTGAAGAGAAAAACTGTGAATACTGATCAGTGTTTCCCAACTGAGCCCTGTTTTTTTATTGTTTATTTTATTATTAGGTATGTTATGCCAGAGTTTTAGATTTTCGGAGAAAGTTCATTGAAGCTGCACAAAGATACAACGAGCTGTCGTATAAGTCTATCGTTCATGAAAGTGAGCGTCTGGAGGCACTGAAACATGCGCTGAACTGCACCATACTGGCCTCTGCAGGTATCAGCAACACACGTGTGCATCCATTTGTAAAACAAGCTCTTCTACTTCATTCTACAATGATTCGATCTGTTTTAGGACAACAGCGCTCCCGTATGTTGGCCACTCTGTTCAAAGACGAGCGCTGCCAGCAGCTCGCTGCTTATGGTATTCTGGAGAAGATGTACCTGGGCCGAATCATCAGAGGAAACCAGCTACAGGAGTTTGCTGCCATGCTGATGCCTCACCAGAAAGCCACCACAGCAGATGGTGAGAAGAGATCAGTGATTTTACAGAGCACGAGCTGCTGAGTTCCTGGTTTCACGTCAGTTTGTGATTCGGAGCTCCCGTTCAGTGAGATGTATTTAGAAAGAGTTCATCGCCATGCCCCTGTTGAGCGAAGAGGGTGAATTGGAAATACCCTCCGTCTGTCCGTGCATGTTGTGAGCTGGATAACTTGGAAAAAAGCAACATGCCAATTTCCACTTTATTTTGTGGCTGCATCTAGGTGTAAGAAAGGTTCCTATCAAAAATTGGGATGTCGCGTCAAAATCCATGATGGCGAGAGAGAGAGAGAACCAGCCACCCCATCATCTGACAAAACTTTTTTTTGTAGTTTTTTATTGATTTAAAATATAGTTTTCTCAAATCTGTTAATCTGCGCTGCCTCAGGCAAGCAAAAAACAAACCAAAACAAAAAAATGAACTCTGTTTTTCAACGTGTAACTCATCCCCACTTGAATGTCGTTCACCAGAAAAACACTCGGCTCTAAAACTACAAACATTCACTTTTTAAATCCCTCAGAGATGGGGACATTCTTGATTTGTGTTGGGAACAGACCAAGCTAGTAAAGTCCATTTATTTATTTTTTTTAAACTTTTTACTGTATCCCATACTGTCTCAATCATGTGAGTACTTGACTGACAATTAATGTGTCGTGCACAATTTATTTTTTCTCGTGTATAATCTTACTTTTAAAAACCGTAAAAGAGCACGTCCGCAAAAGTTGAATCACGACGTAGCGAGGGACTACTGTATGTGTAAACACATGTCGGAGTAAATTATTGTAAAGGTAAAATTTTCCACACCTTTCATTGGATTTACAGGTGTATTGACGCCCATCAACACCTGGATAACTTTGTAATCATTACAGTACATTCGAGATGAAATCACTGTTAAACCCATTGTTTAGCTAAAAAATGAGGCTTAAGCAAATTAAGGGTCTCTACATGTTCTGCTTCTAGGCTCGAGCATCCTCGACAGAGCTGTGATTGAACACAACCTCCTGTCTGCCAGTAAACTGTACAACAACATCACGTTTGAAGAACTTGGAGCATTGTTGGAAATTCCTCCAGCAAAGGTGAGGTGTTCAACGAGAAAACAAACAATATTTAAAGTAGTTCTTCTCTGCTTGGAAATTGTGTATCATGTACTGCCGGTAATAAATTGTAGTTTCTTTGTGTTTAGGCTGAGAAGATTGCCTCTCAGATGATCACAGAAGGTCGAATGAATGGCTTCATTGACCAAATAGATGGTATCGTTCACTTTGAAAGTGAGTGATAATGATATGCTGCATTTTTTTCTTTTCTGGTTTTGATTGCTTAGCTCATCAGTGGACCTAATTTGTTTGTTGTGTTTTGTTTAGTGTAGTTACCGTATTTTTTGGCCTATAAGTTGCGGGGTTTTTTTGTTGCATAATTTACATGCCCTACTTATAGGCCGAAGCAATGTATTTATGGATTTTTTCCATATTTATAAACCATTTTTGGCTGAGATATGACCGTTTTCATTCATTCTGACTGAAAAAATATTGAGCAGTACCACTTTCAGCCACTTGATGGCAGAAGAGTAGTATTATTAGTAAGGGATGCCGTTGTATCATGTAATAGGTAGGGATGCACCGATCCACTTTTTTTTTTTTTTTACTTCCGATCCCGATACCTAGATCTGGATATTGACCGATACCGATACTTTTCCGATGACATCATCATTATTGATTTTATATGAGACTGTAATAATCTCCTCTCTATAGACAAGTACAATTTGTACAAATATATGCATGCATGTCCAAAAAGGCAACTTGAGGTAAGTTTTATTAATGTTGGATAAGTATTCATTCAACCTTTATTTAGACAGGTTAATCCCATTGAGCCTCGAGGACTCATTTACAAGAGAGACCTGATTTCAACAAAGAATGATGACAACAACGACAACAATACTGTTAAGAAAAGGCGTACAGATTTTTTTTTTACAAATAAGATGGCCAAAAAAGTAACAAAAAACAGCTAGATTCTAAGGTGAATGTAGAAAACTAAAAACAGGAACATGTCTGCGTTGGTCCCTGTCAGGAGTCCAACAGATTCTTAAAGACACTTAGAGAGGTCAAGGTCGAGAGCTCCAGATGTTTTTGTAAGATATTCCAGGAAACAGGAGCGGAGTAGGAGAAGGCCCTCTTGCCTAGTTTAGTCCTCATTGAGGGAACACTGCAGGTAATAATGTCCTGAGAGCGCACGCTGTAGCTGCACTCACGCAGAGACATGTAAGAGGAGATGTATGAAGGCAGCAGACCAAGAAGTGATTTAAAGATGTAAATGTACCAGTGAGAGAGTCTGCGTGAAGTTAATGATGTCCAGTTAACCAGTGAATACAGGGTGCAGTGGTGGGTATGATAATCACAGCCAGTTATGAATCTTAGTGCACCGTGATAGTATCAAAGTTAGAATTAAATTCTGCTAACACAAAACGTGTTTTTTTTTTAAATTCCTAGCTTTAAAGTGGATATTAAAGTAATTAATTTAAGTGATTGTTTGTTTAAAGTTAATATTATTTTATTTTAAATAAGGGGCAGATAGAATTTTTTTCTTTCTGCACTTTTTTCATTAAATGTATTTTTTTAATGAATTTGTTTTGTTTATTTTGTTTCTTTTAAATGAATGAATAAATGAATTAAATTAAATTAAAAAAATTAAATGGCTTTAAACATCTGCTAAGTTCATAGCATAAACAAACACAGACATGTTCCTGTTTTTAGTAATTTACATCACTTTATTATGTAGCTGTTTTTTTTATTATATAATTTTCTTGTAATTTTCAATTCATATGTTTTTTTATGATTGTTTACTGTTGTACTGATAAATATCTCCTGGAGGGTAAACTATATCTTGGCTGCAAGTATCAAGCTGCGAAATCCTTCGTTTTCTACAAGTGATAGTGGTTGGTCATTAATTATGATGAAGTTTAGCAACTTCTCGGTAAACATTCGAGCTCCATGGCTTCAGCGGTGTGTTGTTCTCGTCCTGTCCGGGGCGGGCGGTCTGATTTCAGTCAGCCGCGCTCAGTCTGCCCCTCCTCGGAGACGGGCGGACTGAGCGGGGAGGATTGGGTGCGGCTGGCCGGGGTTGGACTGAATGCTTCGGGTTGAGCGAGAGGAGCGCACTGCTGAAGCCATGGAGCTCGAATGTCCAATGTAAAACTAACTTTACCGTGGTTGTGCTATGTTGGATTAAGTTTGTTGTATTATAGGTCGCGACGGAGCTTCCTTCGTTCTGTACAGTGGCTCTGCAGACATTGCACGTTGCTGTCTTGTTTTGTGGTGTTTAGTGTAAAATACTTCCACACAGTGGACATGTTTAGATGAAAAGTTGGTTAGCTGTTAGCCACAGTGCTGCTAACTCAGTCCTCATGTTTTAGCTGGCTGCAAACTATGAAATGGATTTCTTGAATGTGAGGCGGGTCTTATTACTCTGTGTTTCATGAGACACACCTCCGTTCAGGAAATTCATTCCATAGTTTGAAGTTAACATAAGAGCAGCTGGCAGGGAATCACACAAGATATTTCAACAGACACAGACATGCATCATGGATCGGAAATCTCTGCAGGTTGGATCGGAAAAAGTCTGATACATAAATTATGCTGGTATCGGAGCCCTATACGATACTGGGTCGGATCGACCTCATCCCTAGTAATAGGTAAACGTGGCTATAATGACAAATTCAAAAAAGTTCAAGACAAAAACAACTGGACTTTATTTATTATACGTTACGTTATACTTTATTTTTTTCTTGAACTTTTTTAATTTACCATGTCCTGGATAACTGAGAATCTTCACCAGCTATTAATGACACAATCGGCTTGCCATATTCCCCCCACCTTTGTTCTGCTCGCTGCTTGGAGCAACCTCAGCTGCATTTTGCTGCACCGCCCCGGCGAAATGCAGCTAATTTGACTATTAAAGTGCATTTATTAAGTAAAAGTTAAACTGAGACACACCTTTGCTATAATTTCGAGCAAACAAATAATTGTTTAGGTGCTTTTCTTGTTAAATTTTGAAGAAATGAGCAGTGTTTCTCCTTCTTTTTTCCTCTCTGTCTGTGCGCTCCCGGAGCACCGAGGCAGTGAATAATTTTGAAATACAGCTGATTTGACTGTTAAAGTCCTTTTTATTAAGCAAACGTTAGACTGAGATACACCTTTACTATAAAGTTGAGCAAACAAGTTTTTGACTCAAATGTTCAATTGTATATTTGAGGGTGAGAAAATGCCTGAGGAATAGAGAAGTGTGCTGGTGCCCATTTTTAAGAACAAGGGTGATGTACAGAGCTGTAGCAACTACAGAGGAATTAAGTTCATGAGTCACACGATGAAGATCTGGGAGAGAGTTGTGGAAGTTAGACTTCGATGAGAGGTGACTATCTGTAAGCAGCAGTATGGTTTCATGCTGAGAAAGAGCACCACAGATACCACAGTTGCTTTGAGGATGCTGTTGAAGAAGTACAGAGAGGGTCAGAAAGGACGTGGTAACCAGCCACGACAAACTCCATTGTATCTTTGTGGATTTAGAAAAAGCATATGACAGGGTACCGAGGGAGGAGAGTGGTATAGCATGAGGAAATGTGGAGTGGCAGAGAAGTATGTTAGACTGGTACAGGACATGTATGAGGACAACAGGACAGTGGTGAGATGTGCTGTAGGAGTGACGGATAGCTTCAAGGTGGAGGTGGGGGTGCACCAAGAATCGGCTCTGAGCCTCTTCTTGTTTGATCTGGTGATGGACCGACTAACAGATTAGGTCAGGCAGGAATCCCTGTGGACTATGATGTTTGCAGATGACATTGTGATCTGTGGTGAGAACAGGGAATAGGTGGAAGAGAACTTGGAGAGGTGGAGGTATGTACTTGAATTAAGAGGAATAAAAGTCAGTCATAGTAAGACAGAGTACATGAGTGTGAATGAGAGGGAGGCAGGTGGAACAGTGAGGCTACAAGGAGCAGAGGTCACAAAGGTGCAGGACTTCAAGTACTTGGGGTCCACTGTCCAACCACTGGGAGTGTGGTAAAGAGGTGAAAAAGAAAGTCCAGGCAGGATGGAGTGGATGGAGAAAAGTTTCAGGAGTGATTTGTGACAAAAAGGTGTCGGCAAAGGTCAAAGGAAAAGTTTACAAGACAGTGGTGAGACCAACTATGTTGTATGGTCTGGAGACAGAGACATGGACAAAAAGACAGGAGACAGAACTGGAAGTGGCAGAAATGAAGATGTTGAGGTTCTCCTTAGGAGTGACAAGGCTGGATAAGATTAGGAATGAGATCATCAGAGGTACAGCCCAGGTTGAACATCTGGGAGATAAAGTTAGAGAGACCAGACTGAGATGGTTTGGACATGTCCAGAAGAGAGACAGTGGGTATACTGGTAGAAGGATGTTAGAAATGCAACTGCCAGGAAAAAGACAAAGAGGAGATATATGGATGCAGTTAGAGAGGACATGGAGGTAGTTGGGGTGAGAACAGAGGATGAAGAGGACAGAGTTGGAGGAGGATGACTCTGTGGAGACCCTTGAAGAGGGAAAAGCAGAAAGAAGAAGAAAACAAAAAGGGACTTTGATAGTTTTTTTTACGATACAACTCTTTCAGCCAGTCAACTTGTTTGTTTCTAGTTTAAGAAAAGAAAAGAAAAGACTTCTCTAACCCACTTTGTATATGTAGGTGAAGCTGCAGAAAAATGCTAAAGACTAGTGCAGTTAGCCTCTAGACCAGTGGAGTTGTGCGTGCTCTTACGTTCTTTTGGACAGGAGGGAGAGCAAGTGTTAACTTGCAGTTAGGACATTAAGAGCAATATTTTCTCTGATCGCATCAGATAACATCAGAATTATCTCAGACCAGAACCTCCTCGTGGAGAGACAGCTTAAAAAGGTGCGAGTAATTTGCTGTGGCCTGTTGACATCATGCACACAGAGGAGAGACTGTGTCCAATAGTTTTTTGTAAACCAGGTTTTAGAGTTCAAAGTAGGATTCAACATTGCACAGAACTGGTGATGAGCCACAGACATAATGGATGCCAAATACGTCGTTCGTGATCTACTGGTCGATCTTGATCTACTGGTCGATCTCAAAGGCATTATGGGTAGATTGCATGTCATTTAAAAAACAGATGTCAGCCTGTCATCCATCTATAAAATTAGTCACTTGACTGACTGACAGGTGAGGCCCTTGTTTACACGACGTGAATCGTTCGTTCATTTACAGACAACAGCCTCATTCTCCCTGAAACCAAAGGTTTCTGATTCCAGGTCTCAGAGTGGAGATTTTCAGGGGAACCCACAGAGGTGTGAAATGCTCCAGTGTGAAGTCGCACATGTGCACTACAGGGGGCTGCAGTCCAGTTTTTCTGCTCTAACAACACATATAATAAATGACAACAGTTATAATAAATAACAACAATTATAATAAATAACAACAATTATAATAAATAGCAACAATTATAATAAATAACAACAATTATAATAAATAACAACAGTTATAATAAATAGCAACAATTATAATAA